TTGTTCAAGAGGTTGGTAATGTCTAGAGACTCTAAAGGTTCAGTAGGACTTTTGTGTGCCAAGACCTTAGTGCTGGAAGATTGCTACAGGCTTGAATACATTCTCTAGAAGATAACAAATTTATTGCTGTTACATGTGCAGCAGTGCTTCCAGCACTTTCATTGCCTGATATTTCCCAAGCTTTTAGATGAGTCTGTGCAGTCACATTTTTATTAGTAACTATTTCCACTGATTAATCATTATTTTTAACTACTTAGAACATCAGTTGAATTAATCTTGTATACCTGCAGAACCTGAAGTTTAATTGTAACTTGTAATTCATCGTTTAAGTGCACATTTCATATTTTATTGTGTCTTGGATACATTTTATTTTGGAATATAAAAGTAGGAGGTCAGCATCAGGCTGAATTAGCATAAAGCCTCCTTATGACTTCTTTGTGTTTATTTAACATTATGTGCAGATACATAACAACTATATGGAACGGCATGTTTGCTTATTTTAAATGCAGTAGATGATGTAGTTTAATTTTCCGAAGAAAAGTGCATCTGCTGTCACAGCTGCCTGCCAAATCCCACTCTCCTCTCGCTGTCCCCCTTTGGCCAGCTGCAGCCAGAGCTGCCTCGGGGGGAGCCCTCAAAGGCCGTAAACTCCCCCGAGCTCTGTCCGAGTAGGCAGTTAGGGGCAGGAAAAGGTACTTGTGTCCTTCTTGGGCAAAACTACGCAGGACTGGGCACTCCTGCTTCCGCATAGGAACTCACGCTTCGTAACTTACCTTATACATAGAAGTACCCTTTTTAATATAACGGGGGTCAAAAGAAAGGTTTACAATCCATTCCTTTTCCAGTTCTCTTACTTGAAAGCAGGCAGTTGAGCTGGGAAAAAATTGTCTGATTTTTAGAGTATTTTCTATTAAAAAAGCTGAGTATAACTGGATTTTCTGTCTTGCAGCAAGCACTCTTCCTTTTCAGCTGAACAGAGTGCTTCTTCCGGGCGCCTGCCGCAACGTTTGCAGCGCAGCCGGGTCTGAGCTTTCTCGGCGGTGTCCTTCCCAATGTTCGGAAGGTCGATGGCAGCCTGAACGCTGCTGCGAGTTGTGAACCGATTTGCTAGGCGCTCTGGAGGGCTGCAGCTTGTGGTTTGCAGCCCTGCGGAAAGCGTTTAGCTGTGCACTGGCATGCTGATGGCTCTCCAGGCGGCTGGGAATATAGCCCTCGGATGGCTGAGCTGCGCATACGCCGTTACAACTTGCTGGTGTTAGAAAGCCACCTGCAAAAAATTTGAGAGGTTTGCTTTACTTAAAAATAACAGCAAATGATCCTTCACGCTAGTCATTCTGGTATTAGAAACCTGCCTTGTGGGAAAGAGGGGGATGTTATTTATGTGCTGGCAAGTCTCGAAGGCCGGGTGCGTTTGCACATCTTCCTGAGTGTTTTCTCCATCCAGACTGGTTTCTGTCTTTGTAAAGGAGACTCCCATGATGTGTGGCGAGAGGAGAGGGAAAGGAGTAGTAAGAAAACAGGAGACATATTGGCCTGTTAGGGTGTTTTTTATTGAAAAACATTTGGGATCTGAATTGCAGATGTCAGAGAATAGGAGGAGGCTTGTGTGCTTGTGCCAGGCTTGCAGAGCAGCTCGGACACCTGCGTGTCCTGCAAAACGTAACCAACGTACGTGAGGGAAGCAAGTGAATGTGCATTTTCACAACTCTTAATATCACTGAAAAATCTCCTAAAATTTATCTCTGTTGGTAAACACACTGGAGAGTTAAGCAAAGTTCTCGAGCCGATTGGCTGAGTTACCTATTATAACGCCTTGTGAAGTTATTTTTCCATTTGGGCTCGTTGCTTGTTTGTTTACCAAAGCTGCTATTGCAGAAGCGTTGCAGCGCGTGCCTGTGAGATGGACAGAGCGATGCGACAGGGAGGGAAGTTTGGCTGCGACGACAGAGTGTAGCTGTCCTGCCTAGGCTTTTCTGCAGGCTAACTCTTAGCGCAGTACTATTAGGAGTGCTACAGGGGGTAAATTCAGTACAAAAGCATCTCGGATCAGGAACCTGACCAATATTCAGATTTGTTAGTATGAGTACATTTTCCTGTCTTAAATAGACATATTAATAGCTTGGAGGAGAGTAAAAGTTCCCATGCTTTCTATTAAAATAAATGGAAATAAGGAACTGAAGGAGTAAGAGGCAGTGGCATATGTGTCTCTTTGCTTCTTTCGGTAGGGCCATTTGACTTCAGCGCTGGCACGGCAGGCAGACGGTGGCGGTAGCTAATTTGGCTCTGTCTGGTGCTGAACATGAATATGAATTAGAGACAAGTGCCTGAGCTCTCATACTGACTTTTGTTTAGCTGTTAATTTGTTTGAATGTTAATGTGCCACATGCACATAAGCCCAATTAGGTTTGGAAATGCTTATTTTCTTTTCACGGCTTCTAAAAATTGAGGCTGTTATGTGTTAGCAGCTATTTTAGAGAGTTTTATTTTGTTTAAAATGATAGGGTGTATAAAAACATCCAAGGTTTCAAATTCAGTGGAACACTGCATTATGGCCTTCCTGCTCTTAAATAAGTAAATGATGAATAATTACTCTAACCACAGTCATAGTTTGGTATTTGCATTTGGTAGTACCATATTTGCATTATGGTTACTACCATAACTAACGGTGTGAAGGCTGAGATTTTGCTACGATTTCCTTTTAGATAAGTGATTACAGCTGTAGAGAGCCAGAATAACTCCTAGTCTGGAGTGGGGAATTTTTTTAATTCTTTCCTCAAGCATTTATAAGGCTTAGCTTCTGCAATCTTTCTTAAATACGATGGTACTGATCAGCATTGATTATCCTGGTTCTTCACAAAACCGAGGCGGATGCTCGTCTGTCCTCACAAAGCTTATCATCCAGACTTCTTACGCAGGGGATGCGCTTGCTAAAGAAACGCTGTTCCGAAAAAGTGGAAACTGAAAAGGAAATATTCTGGACCTTGTAGGCATTAACTTCATATTTTACCAGTTTATGAATATTTTATTTGCAATAGCTTTGCTCTTACTTCCTCATTACAGGCTTACACATCAGCTACTTTGTGTGCGGGAAGTAGTCTGCAAGTTGGCCATGTGAATGCTGTTTTAAAGCCCAGTGAAATCCCAGTGACTTGAGTATTATCTCTGGTTTTGAACCTGTTATCTAAATGGAACCTCTGGACCTTTCAAAGTCCAGCCATCGTTTCTGCCTAGGTTTGGATAAAGTATAAAAATTTGTGCATCTCAGATGAAATTCACTTGGCGTACTGGCTCTGAGTAAAGTAGACACACCGGTATGTATCTTCTTTAGCTTAAATGAGGAAACTTTAGGAAAAATTAGTGGTACTGTCATTCATTACTCACAAAAGCCACTCTTTGTAACAACACATTAAAAGCCAACCTCCTAACTCAGCAGTAGATACTGAAATAGAAATTTTGTTACACTTCTCTAGAGAAAATGTAATGCTAAATGATCCTTTCTTGGGTAGCAGTTCCGTTTCTGCTGTACTACAAAAAAACATGAAAAAATGAAATTTCAAGTTTAGGCGTTCATATCCCAGTGGTCTTACTTTATTTAGAATCATTTTATTTAGGCTCCGAGACTAGCTGATCTGGGAACTCTCCCGCAGAGCTGGGGTACTTCCTACGACTGCTGAAGAGGAAACCAAAGTGGTCGTACTCTGGGAAGGCCAGAGGGTATTGTAAATGGTCCATTACATGGTGTTTGTTTTTCAGTATGTTCAACTTGACGTAACATTTTAAACGTTGAAGGATAGGGTAAGTTAGGATTTCAGCCAGCACCCAGACCTCACGTGGCCTTTTTACTCATTGCTAGCATCTTATTCCACATTAGAAAGTTAGAAAAAAGAACTAGTTCGTTAACACGAGCAGCACAGCTTTCGCGTGAGTTGGTCTATAACCTTTCACCACGTACTATGCAGAGCACAGAAATCACATAAATATTGTTTTTCCTAGTTCAAAGCCCACTGAAATGCTTAGGGTAGATTCTGTTTTCAGAGGAGCCTAATCTCCTTCGCTTTTACCAGGACGCGTGTGAGCTCCGAGGTGGCTTGCTGGTTTTGACAGGTTTTAACAGCTTACAGAAGCGTCATGAGTAAATGCTTTAGCCATGACTGGAATTGCAGTATTGCTGTCATGTGTGATTCGGTTCTCGTCCCTAGGTAACAAATCTTACTACAACAGCAGTTTTGTCTGTTTTTCCCTTTAGTTCTGTTTCTGATGATACTATATATGTGCCTCCTTAAAAAAGGAGATACTTTTAATATTAAAAGTGAATCATGGCTATCTGTAGGGATTTGTGCTTGAGTAAAGGGAAGCTTCTAAAGTGACTCCTATCTGTATGTGTTATTAAATCTTTACTTATTTTTATAACTGAACTATACCTAAATTATTTTTGAGTTTCTGAAATATATGGCTAATTCCAGTCTAAGGCTAAATTTCTTTGTATTAGCTAGTTCAAGCTGTAATAGCAGCTGGTGAAGCCGTAATATTTTATCCAGTGATGCCTGTGTCTCATTTCATGCCAATTATTATGTCCTCAGAGGTTCAGTTATATGAAATTTTATCTACGATGAGCTTGTGCTCCCTAGCTTTTAAATTCAGTACCACTGGGCAGAATTCTAGGTTTTTGCATCAGGCAATGTGCCTTTTAATGGTTAAAACATTTCTAAAGAGGGGGGAAAAAACCCTCAACAGAATGAAAAATATTTTAGATACAGTTTTTGGATGTTGTCCAGTTTCTACATTAAAAATGCTTTCCAACACCAGACGAAGCCTGAATCATAACGACTCATTTAATACCATGTGCTCTCTGAAAAGAAAATGAGATCAGTAGTTAAATGAAATGCCCACAGATCCTGGGCATGGTGCACAAGATCAATAAAGATGATAATGCAGAGAGGTGGGAGGACACTAAACTGGTCTGTTACTTAAGATTTATTTTGTCTTCCCGTATCTTTCAGAGTGCTCTATGGAAACAAGATCACAGAGATTCCCCAGGGCCTTTTTGATGATCTTGTGTCTCTACAGCTGCTGTGAGTATGATCCCTTCTTCTTCTTTATTTTGCAGACTAGCTAGATTTACAGATTTTTTAGCTTCTGGTTTTAATATAATCACCCTTCCACTGAAAACTCTCTGGGGCAAGCTAGTCCGTGGTCTTTTATGTCAGGCAACAGGGGGGCAAGGGCTGAAAAAAAGAAGGTGCCAATGGTTTTATAGCCCAATGCTTGTGACGGATAATAGACACAGAGGACTGAAGTTTAAGGAGGAAACGGGAGACTCAGTGAAGTCCAGGAAAGGAAATTTGGTCACATTTGGCTGATATAAGGGTGCGGACGCCATTTGATTGTTTTTACAGGTTTAGCATGTGTGGTTGAATATCTAAGTCCTTCAGAGCTACTCTGTTGCAAGTACCTGCACATGGAAGCAAAATGGCAATATTAAAGATCTTCCTGTCAGCAGCCACGCTTAGTTCTAATTTTTATTGTGCCAAATGTGACTTAGTTGGAATAGAAATGATTTCAGAATATATTTGTGCATTCAGGTATTTTATATCACATTGACTTAACACACAGTTGAGAGCTGGGATAAGATATATACTCAGGTACTCTTAAGTATTTATTAAAGTAGTATAAAAGTGTCTTAAACCAAATATGAAATTTCAAATTTCATTCACTCTTTGTCTCCATAATCAAACTGGAAAGCAGTAACTCCTTTTATGACAAGGAAATTAGCTAGTATTTTAGCCAGTCAGTAGAGGGAGCAGAAGTGAAGGGAGTTTAATCTGTATTCCTAACGTTCTGTTTGGTGATCCACTTGGAAAGAGAAGACAATATATGAAATTAATCTGTATTGGCTTATATCGCACACCAAAAAAACTCCCAAAGCAATAAATGATATAAAATATATAATAAAAATATAGCCTTTAGACATGTTATTTTAAGTCTTTCTGACCGTCTTAACACAAGCAGAATTGAAAATCCAGAAGTTCATGATTACCATTCAGTGTGTGTCACTCTGTGGTTGCTGTCTTTGCTGCAGCTTGCTACCCTTATACACTGCACAAATTAAACGTAGGTTTAGATTATAACTCTATGATCAGAGCCAAAGAACTAAAATTATTATGAAATAGTTGATGTTACTCTACGTGTTAAGCCAGAGAACTATTCAGTTGTGCAGTTTAGCCATAAGATCTTAATTGCAAACATGGGCTGCCCTTCTCTAGAGAAAGACAAGCAAGAGCACATATGGTTTGGCTATGACAAGCCTTGAGCTGAGACAGTGGCAAGCTGTTCATCCCCTCCTGCAGACAGCCAATTATTTTGCCTTGGCCTTTTGCACATGCTTTTTCTGGCAGCTCCTTTCCTCTCTCCTGTCCTATACCCACAAGTTTGCTACTACTCCAGTGGCTTTGTAGCCCAGCCTGTGCACTAAGAGAAGGCAGTAGTTTTAGGGGGGAGTTGGTTTACCATGCATGAGAATAATGAGACTGAAAGTTTTTAGAAGCTGGGAATTGGTACGTGTTGGTACAGGTGGTACGTTAGTCACTGGCAGTCTCTCGTGCTGCATTCAGTTCAGCGAAGAAGCTGCAACCAAACAGAGAGCAACAATTCAACTCATGGCTTTGACTTCTGAGAAAGAAACTGTATGAAAGAAATCTTAGCTCTTTTTTTTTTCCCCCCAAATATTTTACAGTTACAAGTTCGAAGTGATACACGGTCACTCTAGCTAACCCAGGACACTTCACAGGTGTGGGATCTTTCCCGGTAGAAAAATAATGATCACTTAACACATGGCTAACGCAGCATCCTATAAACATGTGTGCCTAGAGGTTTTTTCGAATAAGGCGTTAAAAAGGTTTCCACCCCTTTATACTATAGTCCTTCTGTGTATGTAGTGCAGGTTCTCCATGAGTTGCATATTTAAGCCCAGGTGCAGTAATTTTTCGGTGTGAATTAGCTAAAGTGACATCTTTTGTTAAAGGGACAAAATCTGTATGGTGGAGAACAGTTAGAAGGTATTGTACTTAAACCATTCAGACTAAAAGGTGGCCACATTATGAAGTTCCCGGGACATGGTTTCTCCGGAGGCGTCAATGACTTTTTGAAAGTATTTGGAAGCTCTTGGCAAGGGTAACGCTGAGTGATCATGCTTTAAATGCAAACAAATGTCTGCACACTTTTCTGATCGTGGCTCTGAAGCAGCTATTATGGGATCGCTTGTAGTATTTTAATAGATACCTAAAAAACAAATGGCATTCGTTGGTTTTAGACCTGCTGTTGAACAGTTGGAAAAGTGCCCTGTGATTAGATCTAATTTAGTGTTCAGTGGGCTCTAGATTGGATTTCTTCTTATTAGTCTGGAGACACACTGATAAGAAGGCTCTGATTAAAGTATCCTGGTAGCCAGTGTAATTTCCTAAACTTGAGCTGAAGCATTTTTGAAAATATATTGGTATTATGATAAAGCAGTACACACTGTCAGAAAGACAGGAGTGGTTGTGGGTCCTGAATAAAATTGCTGAGATTCTATTTAGGAAGAAAAACATTACTAGGGAATTGCAGAGCAGATAATATTATTTACTGCTTTAGATAAGACTCACCCCCGTTTCTCAGAAGTCATCCTTCTGTTTAAGTATCTTGTCATAACACAGGCCCCGATTATTCCACCTTTGCTCAGGCAGAATTGTTCTGTGTTAGTGCCTTACGTCTGCAGACAGTACCACTAACATCAGAAACACTGTAGCTGGGTAAAATGAAGTAATATTTAGCTCAGGCATGACAGCATCTTAAACTGTCCCGTTTGTCTCTGGTGTTTGGGAAAGGAAGAATCAGAACAAGTTTTAGAGCACCTGGCCAGTGTCAGAAAGCCATATTGCTGTCAGATAACACCGAGGTGGGGACGTCAAAAATGTATTAGGCAGGAAAGTAACCAGACGTAGACAGTAACCTTTTCCTTTTATTATTTTAACCCAATTGGGGTGAATTTAAAATGTAGTTTCTGAAGTCTTCATTATAATTAGCTCTCTTAAATAGCTAACATTCCCCACGTAATGCATATGGTTCCCCACAAATAACCACATGATTGGATTTCGGTTAATTTGGTGGTTTCACAAATCTTCTTTCTTCTTCCTAAATCTGCAATTATAACCAGCGCAGCAGCAAAGGTCATTGCCCAAGTCCACCTGCACATCTATTGTGTGCAACAAAGGCTTTTCTTGTACCACGTCATCCTTCTTGTCTGGTCTGAAGTTTTCAGGAGAGAGGATGCTAGGAAGCCTTGCCATCTCCTGTGCATGGGGCAGTCACACATTCTTCTTTTCAGCAGGCTGGATCTAGCATCTACTGAGAATTTTAGCTGATTTGGATGATAGGGGGCTATTCTGTTTTCCAGAAAGGGGTAACTGGAGTCTGATTTTTTTTCCGGAAAACTATAGCTTTCATTTCATTGCCACAACAATCCCTCCAAGCTGCCGAATAGCGGTTGCTTAATTCTCCTTATTTATCCGGCTTGCATCTGAATATTCGAAGAATGGAAAGTGTTTCAGTTTAAGGTGGACGTTTTGGGGGGCAGGTTTTAACTTGGCTCAGCTCTTTCTTTTTCGGCCGCCCTGTGACAGATAAACCTGGTGGTTGATCTGCTCACTCCCAAGGGAGCTGATGTGCAGAGCCAGCCTGCAGTGAAACAGAGATTCAAGGGGCTCAAGCCAGTGAACAGTGGATAATGGCCACCACATTTGTTCACCAGTATTTTTCATATCTAAGTAATACGCTTTCCTCTGTGCCACCATATTAAAGGAAACATTCTGAGAGCTTTTTTTATTACAGTTAAACATTGTATGCTTTATAATGCTATGTTTCCTGGAACCCAAAGATATCATAAAATCTCTAATGTTTAAAGAGATTATACAGCACAATAATATAGGGGGATATAACCTCATTTTTCAAATGTCTGGCAAGTATCAGTTTTAAATAAATCCTTTTCCTTGAGGAAATTTATTTAGCATAGTTACTAATCATACAAGTACTTGGGCTTGCTGATCTTATGTCTTGTGATTGAGATCACCATGGTAAACTGGGCAAGCTTTGAGAGCAAGGAGGAATCCATAGAGTGGACTCTGTTTTGATGCTGCTAGAAGTAGGTATACTCCTGGGGTACATGTAATTTGCAAGCAGAGATATGTTATATTCCTCTCCCTCTTAAAATTAAGCCAGAGCTTGCAGCTTTCTCCTTTTCCTTAGGTATATAAAGCCTTTGATCATGAGGGAAAAGTCAGCATGTGCGTTGTAGTGAGAAAAAGACCAATAATCATAGTTGTGCCCAGATAATGACATATTGACAGATAACTTCGAAAGTGATGAAAAATTAAACTTCCAGAGCCAATTAGTTTCTAACCTTGGTTAGAACTGGAACTAGATCTAATCCGTCCGACTCCAACTGACCTTTATTTAAAATAGAATTGTGTGAAGTGCCAAGCTGTGTGTGTGCCTTCGCAAACCAGTGCTATTATCAGTCTTCCCAAAACTCAACTGGTCAAATTTTGCTTTGAGTAATTCTCCTTTTTACCTCCTTTTTATACTAAATCTGCTTTGGTTCATAGCGAGATATTTGGTCTTCCATCTCTCTTCCAGGGAGGTTGTTTGGAAAATAGTTCCGCGGCAGATTTGTCAAGTCTAAAGTGCTTGCGCTCGTTTGTAAATCTAAGCCAAATTCCGTTACTTAAGGGCTTCAAATAGTACCTGCCAAATATTCATTGTGTACTTTTAGAGCTTGTTAAAAGCTCAAAGCAAACCCAGTGAAGCACAAAGCCATACAAAATATTTAAAAAAAGGAAGACATACAAAATGACTCCAAAGAACGTACATCAATTCCAGTATTTTTGTATTATATACGTAACGCTATTATATACATATTAGCATTAAACAGTGATACAAAATGGCATATAAATACCAGAACACAGAAGTGTCAGTTTTCCATTTCCAAGCCCTCCACAATACAATAGTCTCTCCCAAAAGTGATCTTCTGAGCTTTAAG